ATTTGGTGTCCTTCTGAGACACTTGGAGAACAAGTTCCACTGTGATAGGAATCTATCCTTATATATATGATGCTCAACTTTTACAAACTTCTTCGTGGCTTCTTTTCTTATATGCCAAACATGTTACAAATTACTTGACTCAGCTATATTTGTAGTTGCATGTTATCATTTATTTCAGTTGGAAGTTTAGTAGTCTACTCGTTGGATGTAGAACTATGTTGCTTAATTTCAGACTTGTATTCTAAGACTCAGGACTTTCGATTCTTCTTTTTCATGTCTTATCATAGCGTTCTATCGTTAACGGAAAAAAGTTTTATCTCACGATTAATTAAAATGAACAATGAGAACGGGACAGGGGAAGAAGGGTGTTACACCCCAATTTTTTTTGGAGGTAACTGGCAAGGAATATGAGAAATCTCACATTCCCGAGCCTTCTCTTTCACTGACAATTAGTTAACAGGCACAGGTATCTTGCTAACCCGAAACATACATCTCCTATAAATAAATCATATAATCAAAATAATAAGCTGATTGTAGAAATTTCGGCAAAGTCTCCGTAGTAAATCAGACTTCCTGAAAGTTCTACAATGGCCTACAAGTTTAAAACAGTATTTAGAGCTCTACTCCCCAGCACAAGTATATATATAATTACATACCAATTTATCCCAAAAGACTAGGATCTAACTATAGATTTTGTGGAGCGTATAACTATAAAATTAAATACATAAGTGTACTCTTAGGTTTACATTAGTTAACAACTACTCAAAATAGATTCACATGTTTTGGAACATCACTGAGGCTCTTCACTGGTCAGTTGGAGGGACAAGGTCTGTGGTGCTATCTGAAGCCAAAGATAATCTACTGGTGAATAACATCCCATTATAATTTTTAATAAAGTATTAGGAACTAAATGAAATAAATTTAATCTTGATAGATAAATGGCAAGAATTAAAATTTCTATAGTATACAATCCTGAAGTAAAAGGATAAGTATATACTTGAACTCATTAAATAATTAAATCAAATCAAACTTCATAATAGGACAACTTGATACATGAAAATGATATAAAACATTATTCTATTTATTATTATTTTTTTCAAATCTTGTCTTTTCATAGGACCTCAACATAACGGGATAACAAGCGCGGCTTGAAGCCATGAATACAAGTGTGAACACATAGTTCACAAGGGTGAGTAACAAATCAAGCGCAGCCGAAGCCACAAAACAAGCACAGGGACGATGCTATGAATATCAAGCAAGCTCAAGATTTCTATGGTGCATGAAGGACTAACAGTACTGCTATTAGTGATCAGCGTTTTATATCCGGTCCTCCAAGAAAAACTCACAAGCATGCATGAGATCACTTCATAACTAACTTAACAGAGGAAAAAAATATATAAATTTTTCTAATAATGGAATCCCTTAAAAAGTATTTTTTGTAACAAATGATCCCAACAAAAAGGTTCTCAAATAACATTTTTAAAACTCCTGTTCAAATTCCAAGCATAAAGATTTATTAATTACCAAATGCTGATTAACATATCACAAGTGGCAATTTATTCAACATAAGAAGCAAAAGTATTTCTCTAAAAAATGAAACATTAAGACATTAAATAATTAAGATTTTAAATGATAACCTGGATAAACTATTTAGCAACAAAAATGATAATTTAACTAGAGTAATAACAAGTAGTAAAACCTTTTCTTTTTTTTTTTAACTATAATAATGGGATGCTATTCACTCACCTAACAAGTTCCCAAAATAATACTTAAATTTAATCATGTTTGTATTAGGAACTCTCCTCAATCCACTAAAGTCCAAAAACAAGAATATTACTACTCAAGTCAAAATTTATATAAAAGTTTTCACAATAACTAGATAGATAAAACTTCAAGAACCATCTAAAATAAAAATTCTAACAACTAGAACTCACTATTTTGACTCCCAAATTCTAATAGCTCTTATAGGATGGGCATTATGCTTTTAAATTTCTCTTGCAAGAGTCACCGTATTGGGTACTATTTCAACATAACATCCTCATCAATTTAAACCCAACACACATGAGAGCAATTTAACTTGGTCTTTAAATGACAAATCACATGTTTTACGTTCAACTTCAATTCTCCCGTTACTTGAATACCATCAACGTTGCAAGCATAAACCTCAACTACTCACGTTACAGCCCACAATTCACCGTTGTCATCAATCTTTCAATCCATCAAAGATCACGCAATCATTTAAACTCATCCACCGAACAAGCATCTTGGCTCAATAGATAAAGCATGACTTCTAAGCAAACCTTTTTCCCAAACATTTCTATAAACACCTTGTATGCAGTAATAATTAAACAAGATGACCAAGCATATTAATGTACCGTTCCAACCTTAATAAACTTCATAACAGTCACAACAAACTGAAAATTTCATAGCCTAGCACAATTATGAACATTAAATCCAAAACAGAGGAATAAAATGCAAGAGGACTAACTTATCTCCATCACTGAAAGCAGCAAACTAAGAATCTAGAGGACAGGAAGATAAAGATCGCATCAACAATCAAACAAGAGTAAGAAAAGATGAACTCCAAACCTTTGAACCACCAAAAATCAAATAGAGCAAGCAACAGAGATGGTACAGCAAAGCTGGAAAATTCAGAACCAAAGCAAGCCAAAAGAATCACAACGTCATGTCGGCGATAGCAACGTTGACGGCAAGGAACAGTGGAAGGAGCGACAAATCAAAGGAGGGAGAGTGGAGAGGTTAGGGTTTAAGATTCTAAGTCATTCTCTCAATTCCTGTCTCTCTTGTCGAAGTGATAGCACCAGAAGAGAAAAATAACCCTGTAAATCTCTCTGTCTTTTTTAACAAGGGTATTTAAGTAATTTTTCTATAAAACTGAGCAAAAATCGATTCTCCTTTAAATAGGGCTGGGATTCGAACCTGGAACTCTGGCCTCCTTAGCAACCTTTGTTACCATCTATCTCCAGGCTTGATTCAGACTACAACAATTAATATAAGTATTAATTAATTTATTATGAAAATTTCAAGATATTACAAAGGGTAAGAAAATTGAAGTAGGAGAAGTGGAGAGAAATACAAGAGGAGGTACTTAAACTCGTACTTTCATTAATAACGAAGAGGTGGTAAGGAAGCTCTAACCTTAAGGAATAAAAGATGAAAAAAAGAAAAAAGTAAATCTCAATATTTAAACAAATCTTGACCAAATAAAACAAAAAATACTGAATCTTTAAGATGAAGTAAATTTACATTTTGTATCCCATCACCAAGGTACTATACTTTATTGTTTCCTAATTTTCCCAAATTATTTCTTGAATGCTTCGGAAAACGCCTCTCGGATAGAATGATGGTAACTGGCAAGCAACATTTGATCAACTTCGCCATGTTCACTTTTTTGTTTTTGGGTGCGTATTTGGGCCTTCCCTCCTAGTCTCCAATAAACATTTTTCCCGATAGCAATCTTTATTTCCTTGTTTCCTAACCAATAAAACAAAAACAAAAGGAGGGAAAAAAGCACAGAGGCTTTAAAAAGTTTGGGAGGATTCAAAATAAGTGTTTTCATGTTTTGCAAGACTAAATTCTTCTCATATACTTATCTTATGTAGCATAAAAGCACTTCCCTATTCGGCCTAACACACACACACTAGACACTTCCCTCTCATTCTCCTTTCCAGGATGATTCATGTATATATATAATCCAATAACCTAATATTTCGCTTCATTTATTAATCAAATCAACTTAGCTTTGTAATTCTGAAATTTTTGTTTGAAAACATTAAATAAACAAATTGATCACTGGGGAGGGGTCCTTATGATTTGCTAAGAACAAATATCAATAAGAGAAATTAATATAATACACAAGAATAGCACAAATTCTCACTTCATGAAAGGACTAAAATTGTTCATGAACAAGAGGAAGGAATACAGCCTGATGATACTTTTAGGTGCAAATTATATGGGACCAGAATTTAACAATATTATCATTTTGGTCACCTCTCATGATCACCCTACAAATAGTCAACAGTAGAAGGAATACTACTCTCAATCCTTAATATAAGAGCTAATTTAATTTTTAATTTGATTATAAATATAAGATCCCAATCTACTTTGTTTCTCATATTTATCCATTTTTCTCAAGGTATTCTTTGTAATAGTTTCACGTATTAAAACTTTCATCAAATGATAGTTCTACTTAATACACATGATTAGTAACGGTATTTTAGGAAAAACAACACCTATTTATTATAAATAACTAACTTAACTAATTTTCTTAATCTACTCAAATTAGTTAAATAATTCTTATATTAAGGACCGAATGTAGTAATAAACAAGAAAACTACTAAATATATATACATATTTATTAGTTATTAGATAGTCAGGCCGCAATCTAAGAAGTTCAACGACAAAAGAACATACAAAGGGAAAGGGAAGAAGGTGGACAGAAGGACTTTTTTATTTTTTTTATTTGCTAGTCACAGCTATCCTCTTATTAGAGGTAACTCTATTTAAGGCATTGTCGGGCATCAAATATGGGTGCCTCTTTCAGTGGGGATTCGAACCTTGGTTCACTATATTATAAAAAACTAACCCCTTCTGCTAGACCTAACCCCTATTGGTGGACGGAAGGAAAATTAGATAACAAATTCCACACTTGTACCTAAACCCAAAAACTTTTCATAGTCCAAATTGATGAAGCCTCTAGCCCATTTCTAATATGTTACCTCTGGGTCCAGGCCCATACTCACAAAAAAAATAAAGCACGTTCTTTTTTTTGGCCCAAAAAAGCACATTCTTTTACATAACTGTTTTATAAGAAAGATTAACACAGGCAAATAATCATACATAAGACAACATCATAAATTAGACATCGGCATATAAGGAAGTTCATGAGACAAAACATAGTAACTTCAGACAGAACTACTATAATCATCCTAACTAATAACCAAATTAAGGCATGACAGTACAATTTGAGGGATTAAAAAGTTCACAAGCCAACTTTCAGCAGCAGGAGTAAAAGGATAAAATAAAGCACATTCATGACGTCACCCCTCATATAGAGATACTATTTGGGATACCCTTCCCAGTCAGCCCAGGTTCACTACTAGGATAAAGCAACGTGTAGGGCATATTAACAGGACCATGTCGATTTTTAAGTCTCACATCATTGTTGTCTGTTTCAATTCTTTCCTCAATTTTTCTTATACTTTCTTTGAATCTCTCAAATGCCTCTAAGGGCTCTTTATCTGATATCCAATCAATATGTCAGCTTGTCCAAGGTATGCCTCGGTAAAAGAATGCCTGGACAAAATAGCTAACACTGCTGTGACATTGATTGCCTGGTCCTTGGAATTAATGGTTTTCAATAAAGCTTTCTCTGGATTACTCTTAAGCTCTTCATATTCTGGGGTACCCTTTCGAGGCATGTAACGTCTAGTGATAGTAGGACGGTTAAGGATATAGCCCCCATATGGGTATTGCCCAAAATTAACAGCTGCATGGAGGCCTGAAGTAATCCATATCAAAATCGTGCAGGATTCTATCAATTCTTCACAATTTTTCATCTGGGGCCACCCTTGATCATCTTTCTTGTCACCATGACCAACCTGAACGAGTTCTTTCCACCATGATTGAAGTTCATTATCTTGTTGAACAGCTTCATCTGACTCATAGAAAAAGCAGCAGTAATCTTGGACCCAAGTCTTGATCGCAAACCAGACATCTAGTCCATCAACAGCATAAGGGTAATCCTTAATTGCAAGATTAAGGCCGTGAGGAGAAGTTGAATCCTCAGTTGCCATTCCCCTAAATCAAGGAAGAAAACAGCATCAAAATTACATATGATGCAACATAGAAACAAAGAGTTCTTAATATTGATGATGACTTCTTTTGGTGATAGATATTTACCTCTTCAGAAGATCAGCTGGCAGTGCTTGATCTGTAAAAACCCAATTCTTATAAACATTAGATGAGAGCTCCATAGAATATTTTCCTGGCAAAAATGTTGACTCTATAATGCCATTTGCATTAACGAGAGATTGTCGAGCAAGTGCATTTATCTTCATAGTGTCACTAAAGTGTGGATCTAGAAGTCTGAAAATAGGATGAATCACACTAAGCTGTCGATTTGTTGCAATGACGAAAGGCTCAACGACAGCGTGAGTGAGTAACCTGTTGTCATTCACGTAAGTAAAATTATCAATAAACAACTATGGAAAGGAGAAAAGCATGCAGTAATGTAAAAAATATGTTTGTGCGTGTATATATATATACCAATGGCTAATTAGTTGGTGATAATTGGAGTCGTTCACCGCAACGTAGGTTTTAGCCAACATCCAAATCCATTTCTCAACGCCTTGTTCAGCTGGCAAGTAGACTTGAGGAGTCCCATCACAATCACCATCTCGAGGCAAACTTAATTCAATTGCTAGTGGTTTTAAAGTTTCATCATTTTTCAAGAGCAGAATTGTCCTCGTAGCATACGCTCTAGGGTGAACTTTAGAACTAATATCCTCAGCAGCAGTTGTGTTTATTAGTCGTAAGTATGGAATGAAATCGTCATAATAATCCAGTATAAACAATTTCTTGTCTTCTATTGCCTGATGAATCAAATGTAGAAAAATTTTTCTTAATACAGGAAATCAGTTGAACACGATGAATTTTAAAGCACAGCACTCTTTTGGATGAATAAAAACCATGGTTTTAGATTAGATTACCTGTTGTACAGATCGCCCTTCTAGGTTTTTCTCGAGATCATCTTCACTTATTTTGCAGATAGTACCATCTACCTTGCTTTTAACAGGCCAATCCTACAAATAAATGGATATATACATAAAAGAAATGGAAGTCTCCATTGTAAGAATTTCCCTCGCAAGGTTATCATAACCATGATCCTTAATATACAACTACATAAATTTGCCTTTAAAGAAAATTTTTATTATCTGAAAAAACTCCCTTTCTTTCAATTGATAGTGCAATCTAACTATTGACCACAAATAATTAGGCATACTTGGAGACAGCAAATTTTGACGGGGTTTACTCCAGCAAGCATTTCTCTTGCGAATTCTTCATCTTTCATCCATGCATTTTTGTTATCTGCAAAAACTCCTTTCAATAATAACTAGTGCCCTTGCAATGATCTATAGATTGCATAATACTAGTGAGAAAATCGTTAGATAAACTCTTGTCAATCATTTTCTTTCTACACATTACACCAATTCATGTGTGTACTGCATCATTTATTTTAATCATTTCACAACTCCCTTTAAGCATATGATCTAGAATATTCAATGCTTGAACATCATGAAATGATAGACTACATATCTATATGTGGCATACCTCTAATCACTTGTGGCTTTTGAAATCTGAGCAATTCTTCTCCATCAATTCGGAAAACTTCCTTTAATTTTTGGAGTGGAATAAAGTGACTTACGGCCTTAAGTAAAGTCGTTGGCAACTTAAATCCACCTTCGTAGAGATCAAGAACTTCATCAAAGCTATCAAACTCTTCAGAAAGACGAGATTTCAAAGCAGGTCTAACAACCTTAGTCACAGATTTGAATCCAAAAGTAACGAAGTCCGCATTCTTCAGTGGAGAAAATTCTTCGTCTCTTGGAACGTAAACTGGGGCCCAAAGCTTCACTCTGCTCTCGTATTCTGGATCTGTAAAATGATAAAGTAAAATGTATTTTGAGATCGAGGCAGTTATTTGCTTATAATCCAAAACTTAATAATGTTTATGTGTGATTTAACCTAATTAAAAATAATAAATGTCAATGAAAACCAATTCTAGAAACCTGACCTGACTTTACTAACGACCTTCCCGTTCGTCCTCTACGAGGGTAAGGATATTTAATTTCCCCTCCAACAGTTCCTCCGAGAATCGGACGGTCATACTTTTTCGGATTGTTCAAGTCATTATAAACAGCATAATCATAGATCCTATCACGTTCTTCAAGGTGCCTATTTCCAATTCCATCCCCTCTCAATTTGGATAATTCTTCCTCTCTATATCTGCGAAGTGGATCTGGTGTTTTATCAGGAAGATATGTCTGCAATAACATTAGACGAACGTTGTTTCTTATCAGAAATTGAATAATTAAACAGTTCAATATACGAACAGTCTACTTCACTTTAAAGTGGAAATTTTATTACCTTGTTGCTAAAGAAAATGCGACCCTCTTCGTTTCTATTTGAAGGGTAAACCCAAGAATTGCAAGGGAAGTGGATTTCACTTTCGCCGACGAGCGGAACATTCTTTAGTGTCAAACTTATGAGAAAGAACTCGTTAGGATGCTTATTCTTAACCAGAATTGCTCCTGGAATCCCTACTTCTTCTTCCCACTCAAAGTGTACTTTGAATTCAAATTTTTCAGCTGTCAGATCTGGGGATTTAGTAATCCACTTTTCCAGATATGCAGGCTTTCCAAGTTTCCCTTTGGCTCCCCTTTCTACAAAAACAAAGGTTTTGGAATTATCAACAAGCTTCATATTGAATATAATGATATTATAATTATTAAGCAATAGAAGATGTTTTGGTAAATTTGTGTGTTTTATATATATATATATATACTCATTTGGGTCTATTTATAAGGTAGAAAGAAGGTTTTTCTTAATCCTATTTACAAATCACTTTATAAATTTTTTACCATGAATGTACTATTTTGTCTTTTACTGTAAATGTTAAATTGGGTACAATTGAAAAGTTATATTTTAATGGAGAGTTAATGCATTTTAAGGTTTTTCTTGTCTATATAAAATATGCTGGAAGTACCTTATAAATAGAATCAGATGAGTATGTATACATATATAATGCCCAATTTTCTGTTTGTTAATTGGGTGATATCATATGCTCTCTCTGATCTTTTTTATAAGAGTCTGAAATTTAAATTGTTTTTTGTCCTTTTTATAAGATGTTATTAAGATACAGGATGCACTAAAAATAAAATTGGCATGCTATGTGCACAAAAAAAAAGAAAAAGAAAAAAGATCAAAGTATTGGATGCATTACAAAGAAGATCTGGATGTTAAATACACCTTTACCTTTTATTCACTTAAGACTACTGTAGCTCAAAGCAAAATTTATGCTATACCCGATCCTCATTATAAAGAACTCTTGCATGTTCATATTATATAATATGTTTTTGTCTTAAGCATTAATTCTTTTTGGTGACATGCATTAACATTTTTATCTAATATCCTTAACTAACAATCAAGCTTTCTAACTAATTAACCAAACTCCTATAAGTAATTATTTTTATTTAGTGAAATTTTGAGATTTTACGATAAACAATTGATGTTGCCTAACTTTTTTTTAACTTATGCAAAGTAATTAATTAGAACGAGTAACAAACAAATGAAAAAAATGAAAAAAAAAAAAGGAACTGTTATGCTTAAAACATGAATAGAAGAAATTGTCATAGAAGAACAAAAGTGCTCTACTATGTAAAAAAGTAATAGATGCATCCCATATTGCCTAGCTTTAAGAAACTAACAATTTTAAGAACACACATTACGTTATCAAAAATAAGCATGAAACTTAATCTTAATGCTTTATTATCAACATCAGCCTTGCATCTGGAGAGTAGCTAGGGGGTTGATGAGAGATTAACGGACCATCTTTGACATACTTTATCTTTCTTTGGAACGAATGTTGAAGCTGATATTCCAAGCAAAAAGGAAAAAAGAAACTTTAATTGGATGAAGAGAAAATAGGAACTGAGGATGAAATTGGAGAGAAGAAAAAAATTGAGAAAATTTTGAGGAGAAAACAAATGAGGCCCCATGACTTTTTTTTTTTTGGGAAAAATGACAAAAAACTTATTCATAAATTTCAAAATCCTAAATTGTTAAATAAATAAAATTCCAATTTAGGTATAAGTGATCAAACTGAGATTTGCAAATTTACTGAAATGATCATATTATCTCTTATTTTTTTAAAAAAAAATATTAAGCACCCTCATCGACCAACCGGTGCGGTCACTAGAGCTTCAACAGTTGATCCCTGAAGCTCTAACAGCTGACAAATTTTTTTTTAATTTTTACAACTTCAATAACGTGATTAACAAGTTCTTTAATGCTATTAATAAGTTTGGTATAACATTTAGTAACAGATTTTTCAGGAAATTCAAAAAGTGATATTTTTACAATTTCAGTCACGACTAACAAGTTTTATAACGCTATTAACAAATTTGATATAGTAGTTAACAATAAGTTTTCTAAAAAAATTCAAAAAATAGTATTTTTACAATTTCAGTAACACGGTTAACAAGTCATACAATGATATTAATTAACTACTCTTATAATATCATTAACAAAATTTTCTTATGAAAATTTTTGTTTTTAATATTAGCTCCTTATGAAGGTTGTACATCAAAATTTTTTCATTTATTAGGCAGCCACTATAATTATGAGAGTTATTAATATTATCACATGACTTGTTATAAAGTTGTTAATAACATTACAAGAATTGTAAATATCATAGCATGACTTGTTAATCGGGTTATTGAAGGTGTAAAAATGTCATTTTTTGAATTTTTCTAAAAGTTTTGTTGTTGATTATCATATCGAATTTGTTAATAGCATTACAAAACTTTTTAATCGCGTTACTGAAGTTGTAAAAATATCATTTTTTTTAAATTTTCTGAAAAACCTGTTGTTAATTGCTATACCAAACTTGTTAATAGCGTTAAAAAACTTGTTAACCGTGTTACTAAAGTTGTGAAAAATTTTCAAAAAAATAGTTGTTAGCCACCGGAGCTCTGATGACCCGTTGTAAGCTGGCTGCCGGAACTCTAGTAATGGCAGACCACCTGACCTCTAGCTGCTGCCACCGTCACCGAAGCTCCCACGGTTGGTGGCAGGTGAGAGTGCTTGTATTTTTTTAAAAAAAATAAAGGATAATACAATCCTTTCAGCAAATTTACAAATTCTAATATAGTTACTTATACCTAAACTAAAATTTTACTTATTTAAATGACCAGGGATTTTGAAATTTAGAAATCATTTTTCCTTTCCTTTTCTCTTGCACTATTTCTTCCGTTTTTTAATTTTATATTTTTACCCAAATAGAGAAAAATCCATTCCCCCGTCCCCTTTTCTCCTCTAGATTTTTCTGGGCCCTTCTTTACTTTTCATCCAAACACTGGTAAAACTACGGTGCGAAGTTTGAAATGGAGAAAGGAAAGAAAGTTAAAGAACCAACCTCGGTCGAATTTAGAAGCACTGATGAACTGGATAGACACGCCTCGGCCTAAACGCAAACACTCACTTGCACGATCCGACAGAGACACGCCAATGTCAGTGAAGTCGAAGGAGTTTTTCTTCTTCACTAACACCACGGTCCCTTCGATCTGTTTGCCTCTTTTGCTGCCTAAGAAACCAGACAACATTGTTGCCTCCTCGTTCAAGTTTCACTCGAAGACACTCAACAACAAAACGATTTAAACTGCAGATGGCAAAAGACTAACAATCACACAGGCCGCAGGTGACCGAGTTCAGTGAGTATTTATAGAGAGAGAGAGAGAGAGTTAAATGAATTAAAAAAAAAGACCAGAAGTCAATGTTCCTGTCTTTTTTTCGATAAAAAAAGGATCAGAAAAAAAAAAAAACTCCCAATGGTGCATATTATACGAAGTCTTCTAGGGGATATTTTTGATCTTTTTACAAGAAGTTGACAGTTTCAATGATCATTATATAATTTTTTATATAAATGCGTATATTTAATAAGAATAGTGAGAGAAAACAGAAATTAATATCGTCTTGTTACATTTACAAGTTAATTAATATTCTTTTTCAATTTTATCTTTGTTGAATTAAATATATGAGAAAAAAACATAAAACATATTTTTAATATCTTTTATTTAATAATGATAAATATAAAAAAATATTAATTTAATGTGTTTTTTTTTATTTGTGAGCTTGAGATATAAATAAGATATAAATATGAATATAATGGTATAACGTTAGAATTAAACGTAAATAAATAAATTTAATGCTTTCAATTATTTTTAATATTTCGTATGACTTGGTTCGAAGCTCATCTCCTGTGAATCGGAGGGAGTAGCACCACATACCCTTGGTTCTTGAACCTTTGAGCCAATTAAGCAATTGTCCCCACAATCATAGCGTTGCTTTTTGTCAAAAAAAAAAAAAAAAGGGAAACTTGGGGGAAAATACCCATTTAAAAATTTATTTGGGAATTGGTTCCTAAAAATTTGTGAGAGGCTGAGGTCCTTTGGTGTAAATAAATACAATAAGGGAAAATACTAAAATATCCTTAGGTAAAAATAACGGAAGATTAATTGTATTTGAAGAAATTTTTATTTGTATATACAGATGATGTATTACACTTTATTAAAGTTTAGTTGCACATAGCCTCAAAAAACACAATAAAAGATCAATTGCATTTAGAGAGATTTTTATCTGCACATACAAATAATATGTTGTGCTCTGTTGAAGTTTGGTTGCACCTAGCCTTAGGGAAGATCAATTGCACTTAGAAGAATTTTTATTTGTACATACAATAATATGTTGCCTTCTATTAAAGTTTGGTTGCACCTAACCTCAGGAAACACAATGGAAGATTAATTACACTTGAAAGGATTTTCATTTGCTCATAAAAATGATATGTTGCCTTCTATCGAAGTTTGATTACACCTAACCTAAAGGAAAGCAATAGAAGATCAATTAAACTTGGAGGGGTTTTCATTTGCACATAGAGATGATTTGTTGCACTCTATTGAAATTTGGTTGCAGTTAGTCTTAAGTAAATATAATGAAAAATCAATTGCACTTTGAGGGATTCTTTTTTACACATATGGATGATGTGTTGCATTCTATTGAAGTTTAGTTGCATCTAGTCTTAGATAAACACAATGAAAGATTAATTACACTTAGAGGGATTTTTATTTACATATACAGATGATATGTCACCCTGTTTGAACAACTAATATATAGATCTCTGGGTTTGAGTGTCTCTCGATGGATCTTGCATTTGTTATGGTCATTTAATATTCGTAAAGCTCGCAATTTCTACTATAGTCTTTCACGGCTGTCATCATCAAACCATTCGCAAATCTGTATTTGAGAATCATTGTCTTTGGACTTCTTAGATTTATGTCGCTCAACGGTTTCAATTTCTTATGGTTTTGATTTTATTGTTCTATGGTTTTATTTTTGATGCTTGTTTTATGGTTTTGATTAAGGTGTGGGTGTGAGTTGTTGGTTCTGGTGAGGGTGGCCAGCAGTCTCAAGTATGAGGAAACGTGGGATTAGAGGCCCTTTTTTCTCTTAATTTTTTCAAGGACACTTTGGTAAAAATTTAGGTGAGTTGGATTCTGAGAGCTCATTAGGATCAGAATATACTTCCAGACTCAGAGAGGACATTTTGGTAAATTGATAGTGTATTAATTAATTTTACATCGACAAAAAGGAGCCACGTGGTCGCACGAGACAAAAATCAAATCAGAGAAAGAGAGAGGGAGACAATTATGACAGGCCTCACCTCTCAGAGTTGAAATATAACTCATCAGTAACCAATAAGAATTGGATTAGCTCTCCCTCATAATCTTATGACCGGATAAATTTAACTTTGAATTAGAGAGTACCTAAATTTAGTGTTTCATAGTGTTTCAAGCAAAATTATCTGTAACAGGAAAATATCTGCACATACTTTTTAAAAAAACATAAAAATATTATTTTCAGTCTATAATATAAGAACTAGTTATATATTCAATTTGATCTTAAATTTAAGATTTCAATCTATTTTATTTTCCATATTTATCTATTTTGCTTTCAAGTAATCTCTATAATGATTGTATCTATTAAGAGTCTTTTATCAACAGATGGGTACTATTTATATGATTAACAAAGATATTTTAAAAAAGATAACCCATATTTATTATAAATAAATAACTTAAAATTTTTTTAATATAAATAAATTAATTACCTAACCGCGATGACAGAACTTACCCAGAGAGGCGTCGGCAAAAGGAAAAACCAAAAACATAAAGGACATGTAGAGAGAAAAAGAAGGAATACCCGAGCCCACAGCCATGCGGAATACATGGGCCACTTTTGAATGGGCCAGCCATGTCTTAACCTTTAGGGTCAAAAAAGCAAAAAGCTAGGTCGTACGGGTTGTTGAATTTATTTATTTCAGGACATTTTAATAAATAGATGAAAAGAAGTTATACAAATGAAATATAAAAGTAATACTTTTTTGGAGGCTTCCTAACCACCCTCTTAATCTCACGTTTTAAATACATCCCGCTTCTCATGGAAACTGGGTTAGGTTAGGAGTAAATTTGTTTTCACAAAAAACAATTAAGGCATTATTTTCTATAAATATATATTCTTTTCCAATTCATAATATGAATCACTTTAACTAATTTATCAGAATCAGGTAATAATAGTTAATTCATTAAAATTGTTTCAAATTAATTTTTTTTTATTTTTGAATTTTACCCATATTGAAAGAGGTTGTAAAAAGAGAAATACAAACAAAATATTTAATCATTAATTATAAAAAAATTAACAAATAAATATTAATTAATCCCAAAACAACTTATATTTTCTTTGTGACGGCAATGGCTTCTCCTGCCATATCAACGTAACATGAATGACGTCTTCTCTATTATTTTCGCCTGCGTAATATCATGCTACGTGGCAGATACGTATTGGATCAATAAAGCCGGGGGGGGCGAAGGATCCGTGAATCTCACTGTCCATTTTCCAAGAGATGAGTGGAAAGCTGGAGTTAAGAAACAACAATAATCCCGCACAATCCTAACTACCATGACAGCTGTGAGCCATTACCCACCATGACAGCTGCGAGCATTATCCACCATGACAGCTGCGAGCCATAAGAGTCACTACTACAATAAAATCTCACCCGTTCAAAATACAAATTGAACGGTTCAAACTTAATATTTTTAATTTGCAGTTTTTGCAATAATAAATTTATCTTTCTAGAAGTATTAATCATAAAATTATCATCATTTTAAATTCTAAAAAATATTTAAATTAAATCTAAACTATTCAAAACTAGTTCAGATGGTCTAGATTAAAATAAGCACTCTATGTTTTTTTTTTTTTAATGATTTGGTTCCTTTGTTTGAAAGTTGTCAATAATTTGATTTTAAAAAAAAAATTGTTAAGATGAATAAAAGAAATGTGATGATTTTAAATAAATAAATAAAGGGTGAGATTGCTGCAAATTTAAAAGATCATGGGTAAAAAATTATAACATTAAAACTTTAAATTGCATCAACCTCTCATAAAATATGATATTTTTTTAACTTTATCCCTAATATATATACCTCTTGAGAAAATAATAAACTACACTATCTTAAATGAAGAACAAAATAGTATATTTATCCTAAAAATTATACCAAATGTGCATTGATCTCCATAATAAATTATTCTTTTTAATCATATACATTGGAATTATTTCTTGATGGGAACCTTTATACAATCAATAGAAATATTTTAGAGAAGACATTATAAAATTGAGTGAAAAAGTAGATTGAGATCTTATATTTAGAACTAAATTCAACTGGTTCTTATATTAAGGACTTGTATATATATTAATTATTAGACAGTCATAGGCCACAATCTAAAAAGTTTAACAACAAAAGAAAATAATTAACTAGCAGAAATGAAAATACAGACAGAAAATTGGACAACAAATGCCGCACCTCTATCTTTATACTAATGTTCAATTTTATACCACACTAGTTTTGAAGTCCCATATTGACAAGGCCTCTAGCCCATTCCTCACGTTCACGTGTTGCCTCTGGTTCCATGCCCATACTGAAAAAAAAAAAAATGAAGCACGTTCTTGCATTTAATTTTTAAGAAAAAAGTCAATTATATTTTTTTAACCAAAAAAGTCAATTAATTTATATGAAAGATTGGTACAGACAAACAGTCGTACATAAAACAGCATCATAAACCAAACATCAACTTATTACAATGAAGTTAACTAGACAAAACACAGGACACAACTACTATAATCATCATAACGAACAGCCAAACGTTCATGGCATCGCCCACTCAGATGGAAATACTATTTGGGATACCCTTGCCAGTGAGCCCCGATTCACTATTAGGATAGAGCAACGTGTAAGGCATATTAATAGGACCATATCGATTTTTGAGTTTCACATCATTGTTGTCTCTTTCAATTCTTTCCTCAATTTTTCTTATTCTTTCTCTGAACCTCTCAAATGCCTCTATTGCCTCTTTATCTGATATCCAATCAGATAAGTTGTCAGCTTGTCCAAGGTATGCCTCAGTAAAAGAATGCCTGGACAAGATAGCTAACACTGCAATCACATTGATTGCTTGGTCCTTGGAATTAATGGTTCTCAAGAAAACTTTCTCTGGGTCATTCTCAAGCTCCTTATATTCAGGAGTACCCTTTTGAGGCATGTAACGTCTAGTGATAGTTGGACGATTTAGGATATAGCCCCCATATGGGTATTGTCCAAAATTAACAGCTGCATGAAGGCCTGAAGTAATCCATATCAGAATTGTGCAGGATTCTATCAAGTCTTTATGAGTTTTCATTTTGGGCCACCTTTGATCATCTTTCTTATCACCATGACCAACCTGAACGAGTTCCTTCCACCATGATTGAAGTTCACTGTCTTGTTGAACAGTTTCATCTGACTCGTAATAAATGCGGCAGTAATCTTGGACCCAAGTCTTGATCGCAAACCATACATCTAGTCCATCAACAGCATAAGGGTAATCCTTAATGACAAGATTAAGGCCGTGAGGAGAAGTTGAATCCTCAGTTGCCATTCCCCTAAATCAAGCAAGAAAATAGCATCAAAATTACATATGATATGATATAGAATCAAGGAGTGTTTTTCTGATATATTTACCTCTTAACAATGTCAACTGGCAGTGCTTGATCTGTAAAAACCCAATTCTTGTAAACCTTAGATGAAAGCTCCATAGAATATCTTCCTGGCAAAAATGTTGACTCTATAATGCCATTTGCATTGACGAGAAATTGTCTAGCAAGAGCATTTATCTTCATAGTATCTGTGAAGTGTGGAGCTAGAAGTTTGTAAACAGGATGAATCACACTAAGTTGTCGATTTGTTGCGATAACGAAAGGCTCAACGACAGCATGAGTGTGTAACCTGTGTGATTGATGTAAAAATATTAGAATAGTCATCTTTGGAAAGGAGAAAAATTAAGATGCATGCAAAAAACTAAAAAATTATAAATACCAATGGCTGATTAGTTGATGATAATTCGAGTCGTTCGTCACAACATAGGTTTTAGCCAACATCCAAACCCATTTCTCCACGCCTTGTTCAGCAGGCAAGTAGACTTGAGGAGTCCCATCACGATCACCCTCTTGAGGCAAACTTAGCTCAATCGCTAGAGGTTTTAAAGTCCCATCATTTTGCAAGAAAAGAATTGTCCTAGTGGCATATGCTCTAGGGTGAACTTTTGAACTGATATCATCACAAGCTGTTGTGTTTATATGCCGCAAATATGAAATGAAATCGTCATAGTAATCCAGTACAAATAATTTCTTGTCCTTTATTGCCTGATGAATCAAATGCATAAAAATTGTTCTTAATATAGAGACCATATGTATAGGAAATAAGTTGAACTCGACCAGTTCTAAAGCAAAATACTGTTCTGGAGGAATAAAGAAAAAGGTTTTAGGTTCAATTACCTGCTTTACAGGTAGCCCTTCTAGATTTTTCTGGAGATCATCTTCATTGATTTTGCAGATGGTACCATCTACCTTGCTTTTAATAGGCCAGTCCTGCAAAAGAAACGGATAAGTCTCCATGTAAACCTGATTTTGCAAATTGTACCATCTACCTTTCCCCGACAAGGTTATCATATGCACAATACTTGATATATAATTGAACAAATTAGACTTCAAAGCAAGTTTTTATTATCCACAAAAACTCCATTTTCTTTCAATTGATATATCATCTTCACTTGTTTTGCATATGCATGGTACCATCTAACTATTGACATCAATTAATTAGGCTTACTTGGAGACAGCAAATTTTGACAGGATTCACTCCAGCAAGCATCTCTCTTGTGAATTCTTCATCTTTCATCCATGCATTTTTATTATCTGCAAGAGAATGATGGTTCTCAGAAAAACTTATTTAATCAGTCATTTAATTCCCTATTCCCATTATGTATATGATTCAGAATTCTCAATGCTTGTGCATCATGAAATGATACAGACTTTTCACACACTCATACACATGGCATACCTCTAATCACCTGAGGCTTTTGAAATCTGAGCAATTCATCTCCATCAATTCGGAAGACTTCCTTTAATTTTTGGAGTGGAAGAACGCTACTTACGGCCAAAAGTAAAGCCTTTGGCAACTTAAATCCACCTTCGTAGAGATTAAGAACCTCCTCAAAGTTATCAAACTCTTCAGCAAGACGAGCTTTCAAAGCAGGTTTGAAAACCTTAGTGACAGATTTGAATCCAAAAGTGACAAAGTCTGCATTCTTCAATGGAGAAAATTCTTCGTCTCTTGGAACGTAATTTGCGCCCAAAAATGTCACTCTGCTTTCATAATCTGGTAAAATGATGTATTAATAAGCCAATTAGAAGAATGGCGAATTTGGAAACTACCAAATTAATGTCATTGAATGTTATAGGCTATTGAACAAAATTCCTCTCAACATCAAAGATGAAGAGATAATCATTGGTTATCAATATATCTCCTTCATTTCACCAAAAAAACAAAAAACAAAAAAAAAAATACATCTCCTTTAAACTTTGAGTTATATGAAGACAACTCCATGATTTGTATTTTATGTCATGTGACATGTGAAGGTTGTTCATAGAAATAGGTACACAAGGATGTTTCATTGCCATTTTTTTTTCCCAGATAAGGGCATAGTTGTTGGCTTATAATCCAAAATTTAATAATGATGTTTATGTGCAATTTAACCTATGTAATTGCAGATGATAATTAAATCTTAATGAAAATCAACTCTAGAAACCTAACCTTTCTGTACTGACGACCTTCCAGTTCGTCCTCGGCGAGGGTAAGGATATTTAGTTTCCCCTCCAACGGTCCCTCCAAGAATCGGACGTTTATACTTTTTTGGACAGTTCAAGTCATTATAAGTAGCATAATCATAGACCCTGTCACGTTCTTCAAGTTGCCTATTTCCAATTCCATCCCCTCTCAATTTGGATAATTCTTCATCTCTATATCTTCGGAGCGGATCTGGTGTTTTACCAGGAAGATATGTCTGCAATGCATTGGACAAACTTTATTTCTCGTTAGATATATTTTGGGTTAAGGTTCATATCCATATCTTAGCATGTTTCCAGATTCGTTTAGTGTTTTGTGGTTTATCTAATAGCACCATAAAATATGTTCTCAGGTGTGTCCGACGCTTTAAAATATTTTGTGCTTTATACAGTAACCTGAAATATGTTTTCAAGTACGCTCTCAACACCTTAATGTTTTTGGCAAAATTGCACTAAAATATGATTTAAGGTGTTAAATGTGTCTAAAAAAAATACTTTAGAGTCTTGTATCAACTAGAAAATACTTTAAATTACTGGACACATATAAAAAAATATTTTAGAATACTGGATAAACTACATAATACTTTAGAGTACTAAACATATCTAGAAGAGTACTTGAGAGTGCTGGATCAATTTTAACCATATATTTTCAACTGAATAATTAACAAAATAATATATGAACAGTCTACTTCACCTTAAAAGTTGAGGATGTATTACCTTGTTGCTGAAGAATATGCGACCGTCTTCGTATCTATTTGTAGGGTAAACCCAAGAATTGCAAGGAAAGTGGATTTCACTTTCACCGACGAGTGGAACATTCTTTAGTGTCAAACTTATAAGAAAGAACTCGTTGGGATGCTTATTCTTAACCAGAATTGCTCCTGGAATCCCTACTTCTTCTTCCCACTCAAAGTGTACTTTGAATTCAAATTTTTCAGCCGTCAGATTTGGGGCTTTAGTAATCCAGTTTTCCAGATATGCTGGCTTCCCAATTTTCCCTTTAGCTCCCCTTTCTACAAGAATAAAAGTTTTTAAACCATGAATTGAAGCTTCATACTGAATACATTGATACTATAATTATTAAACAGTAGAGGGTGTTCTAGTAATTTTATATGCCAAAAGATATTTAACGCTCGAGTCAATATTCAGTTTGTCGATAATATGAGTTGGCGGGAAAAAAAAAAAAGATATTCATGTTTTAAGGAGAGGGGAGGAGAGAGAAATTTTAATAAGTTCAATTTAAAAATTTTAAGAAATTAGAATCTTTTGCATGTCTTATAATATAACATATTTTATTTAAAGTATTAATTTTTACTACCTAATATACTTAATTAATTATAATGCTTTCTAACTATTAACCAAATTCTTCTAACTAGTATTTTTTATTTAGGAAAATTTTTAAATTTACAAGAAAAAAGTGACTTTAACTAATTAACTTATTAAACTTACATATAGTAGTTAATTAGAGCCTATAAAAAGGAGTGGAGGGGAGGGAATAATAAACAAATGAAATTTCCCCTTCACGATATTTATCCCCTTTAACTGAAATCTCAAATGATATATATAGGGCTTTGAAAGATGAAAAATTTAACTTTTTATTATTATCCAAATAGAGAAAACTCGTCTTTTCTCCTTTAGTTTCCCCCCTTCTTTACTTTGAATCCAAACATAGGATAAAACTATGGTACCTTTTCTTATTATAGGCTATACTTTTAGTTAATTCACACAAACTAGAAGTGAAAGTCAACTCATTAAATTTGTTTTAACTTAATAAAATTTTTCAACTTTACCCCTATATCAATGAATTTTTGAAGAAGAAAGAAAAATACAAAAACCCACATAATTAAGCATTTAACTATAGAGGTAAAATTGGCAAATAAGCATTAATGACCGTTTAAGTGATTTAGGGAGAGTTTGGAAACCCTCAGAAACACTTTTTTTTTCTTGGGTCCAAAACCCTTAGAAGCACTTTAAAAAGTTCAAACAAAACTTCTCACAGATACTTGCTTCAAAAACAGTAAAATTACTCTCAAAATGCTAATTTAAAAAAATTAATCATCCTAGACGGCATCATAAATGCGAAATTGAGAAAGCTAAGTAAACAAATGTGAAAGAGCTAACCTCGGTCAAATTTAGAAGCACTGACGAAGTGGATAGATACGCCTCGGCCTAAGCACTCACTGGCACGATCCAATAAAGACACTCCAACGTCAGTAAAGTCGAAGGAGTTTTTCTTCTTCACTAACACCACACTCCCTTCGATCTGTTTTCCCTTTCTGCTGCCTAAGAGACTAGACAACATTGTCACCTTGTCGAGGAGACACTGAAAAGCAAAACAATTTAAGCTGAAGATGATGGCAAAAGACGACTAATCACAGGTTGTTGTAATTAAGTGACAAGGTTCAGTGGGTATTAATAGAGAGAAAGAGAAAGAGAGAGAATTTTAACGAATAAAAAAAAGACTTGTTGAAGTCAATGATATATGTAAATTAATTAAGTTTACATTGGGACTGAGATTTATAGGATTAACGAGTTTCATGGGACTATGCTACCTGTGATCATATGATTTGCTGTCTAATTTCGATAAAAATTAAACAGGAAGTACGTGGTCGTGCGAGATTAAGGCATCATTTTCTATGAATATAAAAACAATGAAGATATATTTTACAAAGTGTCACGAGTCGAAATTTGAATATAAAATTCCTCAAGTAGATTGTCCCAACAACCATATGTATAATATTGTTGCTTTTCTGGCAATTAAAAGAACCACAAATCAATGATAATATATTAATGGATTAATTAATTCATTTCTCATTGATGAGACTGAGGTTTGGTTTTACGTTTGATGTTCAGTAAAATCTGAAAACTGAATTGAGTACATTTTTGACACCAAACCAAAATTTAAAAAGAGAAAACAACCAACTTATTTCAATTATGTTTTGGGTTTGGTTGGTTTTGGAAAGCAAAAAAAAAAAAAAAGGCACATTAGTGATGATGGAATTCCATTGCTAAATCAGTTTAGTAACGAATCTTGTCCGTGATTAATTAATGACAATCTTTTTTGCGACGCAATTTATTAGTTCCGTGGCTAACATGAAAGAATTGTCTTGGATTTAGAATGGTGCTTCTCAAAAATATAAATGGGACACTGGGCCTTCAATTTGTTTTCATTGCAAACGTATGATTATTGAACCTGGACTTGGACAAAAACCAGAGGGCTGACGTTCTATCTTTAATTTTAGTCCTAACTGAAAGTTTTTCGTTCAATTAAAAAACCGATCACCAAATATGCATCTAACAAAAACAGAATAAAAAACTGAAAAATCGAAAAAAACCAACCTGAAAAACAAAATCAATTCATTTCGATTCAGTTTTCAGTTTCAGTTCAGTTTTACTTACCCTACTAACATTCATAGTGTTAACTTTGAGCCTTGGCTCAGAATTATTTTGGGAAAAGAAAAAAAAAGAGTTTCAAGGGGGATATGCGACTTCTGAGCACACGAATTGCTGTCTAATGGCGACAAAAAGGAAGCACATGGTCGTGCGAGTGGAAGACTGGCAAGAATGAGATCAGAGAAAGAGACACAGAGTGAGAAAGAAAGAATGCTTCAGCCATACCCACTTTAATCCTTGACGATCACGCATTCTCAAATAAAAGAGAATACATTAAATTAACGAAATTTTTCAATCTTACCGCAAATTTTTCTCTATTTACATTTGCAAATCATATTCATATTTCTTCCTTCTTTGTCTCTTTGTTATGAGAATTAAATGAGGATAAAATTATAAACAAGTATTAAATATACTCCAAGTAACTAACAATTAGAACTAGAGTAGCACAGTTAAAATATCTACAATTATAACTAATTGCATACTACCTTCAGTCTTTAATATAAAAACTAATTTAATATTCAATTTAGTTCTAGATATAAAACTCAATTCACTTTGTTCCTCATATTTATCTATTTTTCTCAAAATAGTTCTTGTATTAGTTGCACATATTAAAGATTTTATCAAATGGTAATTCTAACTAATATATATGATTAGCAAAAGTATTTTGAAAAAAAAAATACATTTTTGTTACAATAACCAACTTAACTAATCTTTTTAATTTACTTAAATTACTCGGTTAGCTCCTGTATTAAGAGACGGAGCCGGCATTTGATGTCTTAATCTTATCTTCTAACAAGGCATCATTTTCTAAAGTATATCGGGTAGTTTTATTAAAATTTGTGCCTGTAGTCAAAATTTGAATATAAAATTCTTCACTTGAATTGTCCCAACCACCATATATTTTATATATGAGGCCTTATCTACTATGATTGATGGAGGCAGTGTTGGAACGAGAAGGAGGGAGACTAGCGGGGCCATGGCCTCCAAAGATTTCTATATTAAAATTATATAATTATATAAGTGTTATATATTTCTTCTCCCAAAATCTATAAAAATTCACATTATATATTGTTTTTAATCTCAATCCCTATTATAATTAAATCCTTACCCTACTCTGAATAAAAGTATTCTTATAGTTTCACATTTAGGTTAGTTAAATACCCAATATAACATTAAAATTATGTTTTCTATATGTTGGTTATTTATGATGCTACAAGTCTTTGATCTTTGCTAAACTTATGTCTTCAAAGCTTTAAAAAATAGTTTGGCCGAAGGGAAAAAAAATACTTTAAAAAATGGTAAAATTTTGCCCATAAAATTAATGTCTTTTTTTTAATTGTCTTTTTTTGTTGGGACTAAGATCGCCTGACGTGCTACTCTTTAAAAGTAATTTTTTTTACAGAATACGAAATAAACATATTTGAAGAGTTTTATTTTAACTTAGGTGAACAGTGAACATGTTTATATTCCATTAAACAGCTTGAAATCTCACGAAACTAAAAGCTAATGGAGACTATTTATTGATTTTTTTTTTGCCTACGGAGTATTTATTGAAATTAAAATAAAGTGACAATATTTCTTTATTATTTTTGTAATGATTGAAAACCATTTAAAATGCTTTTAAACATTCAAATTAAAATGAAAAAAACGCATGCGTAATGGCTGAATTCTATTTATTCACAGTTAACAGGGGAAATAATCGCTGTTTAGAATTATTAATGATTGATGATAATAATGAATGATAATGTTTTGATTTGGTGGACAAATACGATTGCTTCTATAACATTTAGTAGTTTTTTTTTGGTTTAATAATATTTAGCATTATATATTTGATTGATTGATGATTTGATTTGATTGATTTCCAGGTAGAATTGACTTAACTATATAAGAAATTGGAGAGAGAGTAATAATGCACATGATCCCCATCTAATGATCTATTAATTTTTCTGACATGCAAAACATATTTTTAAAATTTTTTTCTCGTTGAATTGCTAGTTTAAAACTCAAAGCCTTCTTATCTTTCCCTCTCTAATCATTTGGCCCAATTCGGATTTAATAAATATGTTCAACAACTTGGCAGAAAGAAATGTAAGCCCCTTGAATTTCAAATTTTTTGTTGTGTTGTCCAAAAGGGCAACGATTATCGTGTACTTTCTTTTCTTTTTCGGTCAACAATTATCGTATACTTTCGGAGTTCACATCTATTTTATTTTTTCAAAATGAAAGTATGATTTTTTAGAACAATATGATACGCTAAAAGCAATTCGCAATTGTTAGAAACAGAAAGTTTCGAATTTGATGATATAAAAATGGAAAACAGAAGTATGAATACAATGAACATTTAAAAATTGATAACTTTCGTTGTCAATTATATGTTCGCCCCCCCCCCCCAGAAAACGTGTTTACGTGTTTAATTATTTCACATCGATCTACTTGCATCTTGATTTGGTCAAGATTTATTATACATTACATAATTTCTTCAATTATAACATTTGATTTAGCAATGATTCCAACTTAACTGGAGACCGTTCAAACGTGCCTAGCATGAAAATTGGCAAATGACTATTGAGAATTCAGAGCAATAATTGGTATCGCAACTTAAAATAATGTCATTGCTTCCTATCTGTAAATCACCTGTATCCCATTCTCACGTGTTAAGGAATGCATTAAATTCATAAAATTTTCACATTTGTTCCTCTTAAATGAAACGTATTGAAAAAAAAAATATGCTGTACATTTTCTCTCATATATTTTCTTTATTGTATTCACTGTCAACAGGAGTAAAATTGAAAAAAAATAATTAATTATCTTACAAGTGACTTATATTTAGGAATAATTTTTTTTCCTATAAGTTACTTACATATAGGAAGGAACAGAGTCATATTTGTCAATGGAGATCACAAACCTGAATAATTAATAATGTCGGAAGACAATTATTGTCGCTGATAAACTATGTAAAAAATTATTGCAGTTTTTCAAAATATTTAGATAGAAAGTTTTGTGGTTTACTCACTTAGTGTGAAACTATAGATTATAATGGAGATCAGCCTGCTTGAATAATTTATCAAAATAGCCTACATAGATTGGCAAAAGAAGGATTTATAAACCGATTCCTCATTTCACAAACATTATGAGAAAGGATTAAAAGACAAAAGAGCTTATCTCAAGAGATGAAAATAAACTAAAAAAACAAGCCAAAAAGCATTTTTTATCGCATGTTTGAGGAGTACCCCCGCAACAATTCATGAAACAAGTAGGGACTTAATTGAAATGACTTATAAACAATTCTATAAGCAAATTCAAATGGTCTGGTGTAAATGGTTGGCATCCCAACAAGAAATAAATTCATCAATAAATACTTAATTAGAAATAGATAGAGACCTTTTAGCTAATTCTTCTACCAAGTACAGAGTGCTTTTCTTGATAGCACAATTTATATAACGGCTACACCATTATTTACAATGGTCTTTGAATCAGTTTTGAACAGTGGAGGACTTGTTGATAATTATAGTAGTTCTCTGTCTCCTAAGATGACTTAAGCACTTATTTATACCAAAATTAGATAGTTGCTGGGTAATCTCTCACTGAATTGGCCTCTATGTTGAGCAAATTTGACAACTTTTAGTATATTGATAATGCCGTTAATAATGCAGGTGATATTCTGAATTCATCTCAATTCAAATTTACTTATTTCATTATATTATACTAATTCCTTCTTTATGTATATAATTTGTTTTTGACAGATGGACCAAGTGTAACCGATGGTGGAGGAGACAAATGAATGAAGACGATTAATGTTCAACAATATGAAAATTAAATTTCAATAATTTTTGTTCACTTGTTGTACTCCTCCGGTCCTAAATGTAAGACCCTTATACTAGTGTGTATAAGGGTCTTACATTTAGGACCGGAGGAGTATATAATATGATATAGACTTGATGTTAGGCTTATGCTTATGTTATCATGGATTTGTAATTTGGATGTTGCTTTTTGTTGTTGTTGAATGTTGTTGAAAATTCTGATGAATTTATGACCAGGTTTTAATGTTTTGAGATTAGTTCTAAAGTTAAACAAGTGACTTATTTTTTCTAAAACAAAAGGTGACTTATTAATATTAAAATTCAAATTTGAAAACCTAATATCAAAGAGCTTATCTAAGTGAGAGAAAGACTACACTTAAACTATTTTTTTTTAAAACTATTTTAGATTTGGCTTTAATTCTATTAAGATCATAAACAAAATTTCACAAACACATATTTACTCCCTCATAAAGGTATTTTTCAAGTCTACTTATGATTAGTTGACAATTAGGATAAGATTAATTGAACTGAATACTATAAATGTGGCGTTTATTGGGAGGCATATATGATATTTCAATTTTTTTAATTTTATAAAAAAATTTAAATTTTTTATTTTATTCTTTTCCCTTGTATACATGTGAGAAAAGAATGAAAAGAAAAAGAACAAAAGAATAACTGCCTCTGTAATGTATAGAACGGCATTTACTCCCTCGTCCCTATATGGGCCTATGCTAACTGGGCTCAACAAGACTTGGGCCTGACTGATTCTGGCCGCAGTTCACAGAAATTCAACGGAAATAAGTAACAAAACCCCTGCTAAACAAGCGAAAAGAAAAAGAATAGAAGATTTGAATTCTGACAGAGAGAGATGTTTATATTTACTACCTGAAAATAATGTCTATATTTATTACTTGAGAATATCTTAAATATAATTACCTCTAATAGAAAGATACATATACCTGCCAAAAACATGTAAGTGCTCTTTTAGCAAGAATTCAAACTTCGATTCACTATATTACGGGAACCAATTCCTTCCGCTAAATCCAATCTCCATCGGTAAAAACTTTGACAAGTGGGCTTTAATTGAAAGTGTATTAACCAAACATTTTTTTTTTTTCGCCAACTTAAAAAAAAAGTTTGACCAAACAAAAACTGAAGTTTGTGACTTTATTTTTGCCACGGAGGTTTGCGATTTCAAAAATTAAAAAATTTAATTGCTGA